CCCTCTCTGATCAAATTAAAATAGATAAATAAAATAAAATAAAGTTGAATAAAATAATTTTTAAAATAAATAAAATAAAAATTCTTAAAAAGACAAAGAAACTTTAGAAACATATTCCTTATTTTTGATGCGAGTGTGTTGTCTTATATGTCACAGAGCCTGGAACCTGAAGGGTGGCCGCGTCAGTGCTAGTGAGAGTCCCCCCTTCCAGAGCTCTGCGAAGGGTGGCCAAGTGTTCAGGACTGGTGCCTGCTGTTCAGAACCCGTAACTCGTGGCCCTACCCTCAGTGGCAGGTCAATACCGGACAGGCGAGCATTCTTTGCTCAGGTCTTAAGACGAGAGAGCTCTATTTTAAGCTGGGTCCTACGGTTAAACATATTTTCTGATTTTAAGCATTAGGTGAAAATAATTCTGTATTTTCGTGTGCTGACATCAAAGGGCCATCCACCTGGTTTCAGACATAGGGTGAGGCTATGTTACTGACCCTCCACCACTTCATGTAAGAATTATAAACCAAAGGGGACCAGTTAGCGTAATGGCTATGTCGCTGAGCTCCCATGTAGTCGACTGCGTTCGAGTCCTGGACCCGATGGCTTAAACTCATACGCTGGGCGCCTGTGCGTGCGCGCCCAAGATCCCGAGAGGAGAATGGAGGAGAAAGGACTGGGATGTGGCCATCCCCCTGGGGGGTGATTTCCTGCTTTCTGTCTCTCTGTCTCTCTCTGTCTTTCTGGAGAGTGCACATGCCCTATAGCAAAAACCTCTCCAAAAGGAAAAAAAAAAAAGAATTATAAACCGAAGGCCTCTTTCATTTCAGCTCTTTGGCTGGCTTTTTTGCAAAGTCCGTTTTGAGAACCTTATCTTCGCCCTTCTGACGGTGATGTCGCTGCAAGGCTACGCGAACCTGCATAGCCAGTGGAGCATAAAGGGCGAGTTCAACAACCTGCCCCAGGAGGAGCTCATCCAGTGGGTCAGGTACAACACCAGGCCAGGTACGCTGCCGCGGCTGCACGCTCTCCACACACATGCACACGCAGACACGCGCTCACACGCTCACACATGCACACACTCACACTCATTCACACCTGCCACACACACGTCCATCTCATGTCATTGTCATTTCATCTGTGCATGTGTGTGTGTGTGCATGTGTGTGTCTGTATGATGTATGAACACACGTAGGTTTTGAGCATGTTGATTGGAATAACGGCTCACTAAAGCCCTTTCCAAAAGGCGACCTTGGAGAGCAGCAGGTGGTTACATTGCTAGACTCCCGCACGGCTTACCATTGTCCGAGTTCTCAACCTGGTGGCTTAAAACTCATGCCAGGTGCATGTGCACGTGTGCCCAGAATCCCAGGAGGGGAACGGAAGAGAAGGGCCCACAGTGTTGCCACCCCCCCGGGGGGGTGATTTCTCACTGTCTGTCTCTCTGGTGAGTGCATACGCTCTATAGCAAAACATTTCTCTAAAAAAAATTTTTAAATAAAAAGGTGATACTGCTCCCTCTTTAAACCCGTCTGTGTAACTGTCAGGAAACTTAAACTACCACTGAGGACCTTAGGTTGTTCACGAGTCGCGTAAAAAAAAGGCGTCACTGCCCCAACGTCGCCGAGAGGCCTGTGAGGACGCAGGTGCACACCTGGGCCAGAACACGGCAGGGCCGCTCTGGCTGTGGGGCGCTGGTGCTGCCCTCTGGCCACGTGGGTCTGCACCGTCTCTCACGCTGTGACCACATCGGGCAGACGCGGCACTCTCGGCAGTCTGTCGTCTTCACTACGTCATCCTAGGGGAGGTGTATGCAGCCCACTTTGGAGGCCCAGCTGTGGTGCTGCCGGTGGTGGGGTGCCGCATGGGGCCCAGGCTCAGGTGTGGCCCGGCCTGACCTGAATGTACTTCGTGAGCCCAGGACCCCACCTGCCCGGGACGCTGGAGGGAGGATCGTGGCGTGGTGAGACCCCGTTGGGTACTTGTCTGTCTCTCTCTAATAAAAAAACTAATACACTTAAATCAAACTTCTCTAAAATACTGCTCTTAGCTCACTTCTCCATGTCTTATTCGGAGCGAGCTCAGGTAGACAGATCCCTTCCAGAGAGCGCACCCGTGACCTTTCCGTAGCCACACCTACTTTTTTTTTTTTTTATTTTATTAT